GCAGTCATATTGGACTGGGGTCCATCCTGCTCTGTTTTGACCTCTTCTTAGCTGCTGACATCTGCAATGAACTTATTACCAAATAAGGTCACAGTATGAGGTAGTAGGGGCTATGAATTTTAACATCTGAGTATTGGGAAGACACAATTCAACCTAGAACACCTACTTAGACTTTGATTGTATTATATGAAAAGCATTCAGTGTACAAATGCTTTGAGGATGAAAATCTTGTATGTAGTCCCAGCTATACTCTGAAAACTCAGGTAGTAGGATTGCTTGAGGCTAGAAGTTGAAGGCTGCAGCAGTACGCTGTTTATGCCTGTGAATAGCCACTTCACTCCAGCTTCGGCAACATCAGGATCATAGAGACAGAAAGTAGAATGATGGTTGCCCGGGGGTGCAGGAAGGGAAGGGAAAAGGAATTACTGTGTAATGTATACAAGACTTCAGTTTGGGAAGAAGAAATGAATCCTGGAGATGGATTATCATGATGGTTGCACAGCAGTATGAATGTACTTAATACTACTGAATTGTTTCTTGAAAGGGTTAATGTGGTAAATGTATGTGTATTTTAGAGCGATAAAAAATTGAAAAATACAAAACCACCTTTGTATGTATATGTATATATGTGTGTGTATGTATATTGTGTCTGTATATATATGTTATATGAAAACTATTCAGTGTACCTTTGCCTCCTGGGCTCAAGCTATCCTCCTCCCACAGCCTCCTGGGTAATCATGACTATAGGCACATGCCACCACACCCGCTAATTTTTAGTTTTTTGTAGAGACAAAATTCTCAGTATATTGCCAGGCTAGTCTCAAACTCGTCTCAAGCAGTTCTCCCCACCTCACAAAGTGATAGGATTATATGTGTGAGCCACTGTGCCCAGACAGCCACCCTCAGATGGGTTAGTTATATCCTGCAGTTCATGACACAGACACATACATATCTGTGTTAAGAGTATATGAAAATGAATAGTTATGTCAGATATGAAATTTGGCATTTTGAAGAGAATACAAGCATATGATTTGCTAGGGTTATTGCCTAATATTAAGATTCAGATTGTTTGGGCCTGAGATTGTGAAAGTATTTTGGGTTTTTCTAAAAAAGTAAATAATTAAAAAAATATATAGATTGTTTGGGGGACAAAGTTTATATATGTTCAAGGTGTGTCCCCCACCCCTCAAAACCCAGGCTGGAGTGCAGTGGCGCAATCTTGGCTCACTGCAACCTCTGCCTCCTGGGTTCAAGCAATTCTCCTGTCTCAGCCTCCCCAGTAGCTGGGATTACAGGCATGTGCTACCACACCCGGCTAATTTTTGTATTTATAGTAGAGATGGGGTTTAACTTTGTTGGCCAAGCTTGTCTCAAACTCCTGACTTCAGGTGATCCACATGCCCTGGCCTCCCAAAGTGTTGGGATTATAGGCTCCACTGTGCCGGACAAGGTGTACATTCTTTCACTTGTGTTTTTTGGGGTTATTTTGGAGACACAGTCTCACTTTGTTGCCCATCTGGAGGACTATGGGGCTATCACGGCTCATGGCAATCTCCACCTCTTAGGTTTCAAGTCAGCCTCTATAATGAAGTAGCCCTGCTGCTCATAGGGTTCTAAAAGTATACCTGTGGATCTTTACTTTCCTCTTCTATGCTGCTTTTGCAACAGGTACAAATTCTTCCTCCTGATTTGATTCTGGATTAATGTATTTTTAGCTTTCCCAGGCTTTGACTAAGAACCCTATCTTCAACCTGCTGGGTCTGGTGGCTCAATGCCTGTAATCCCAGCACTTTGGGAGGCTGAGGCAGGCAGATCACCTGAGGTCAGGAGTTTGAAACTAGTCTGACCAACATAGAGAAGCCCCAGGTCTACTGAAGATACAAAATTAGCCAGGTGTGGCGGTGCAGGACTGTAATCCCAGCTACTCTGGAGACTGAGGCAGGAGAATCATTTGAACCTGAGAGGGGGATGTTGTGGTGAGCTGTGATTGTGCCATCCTGGGCAACAAGCAAAACTCTATCTCAAAATTAAAAAAAAGAACCCTATCTTCGACCAGAAGAGGTTATTTAGGTTCAGTTTAGAGTTGAGGTATTTTTTAAATGTATATGACAGACTAAAAATAGTGGGCTAGAAAGACTAGTAAACAAATTGCGATTGGCCATGCTTGTAAACTAAAATAATTTAAGCCTTTGACCTGCATTTGTGATGTATTTATTATTGTAGAGCATACATAAGAAAACTCTTAACCATTTTACAGCATAAAATTTATTGACATTAAGTATATTTCATGCCGGGCGCGGTGGCTCAAGCCTGTAATCCCAGCACTTTGGGAGGCCGAGGCGGGTGGATCACGAGTTCAAGAGATCGAGACCATCCTGGTCAACATGGTGAAACCCCGTCTCTACTAAAAATACAAAACATTAGCTGGGCATGGTGGTGCGTGCCTGTAGTCCCAGCTACTCCGGAGGCTGAGGCAGGAGAATTGCCTGAACCCAGGAGGCGGAGGTTGCGGTGAGCCGAGATTGCGCCATTGCACTCCAGCCTGGGTAACAAGAGCGAAACTCCGTGTAAAAAAAAAAAAGTATATTTCACATTGTTGTATTATAACTATTACCGTTATCTCTAGAATTTTTTCATCATCTTAAATAAACTCAGTACTTATTAATCTCCCTTCCACAGCCCCTGGTAATCTCTCTACTATCTCTATGAATTTGACTATTGTCAGTATGTCATATAAGTAGAATTATTCAATATTTACCCTTTTGTATCTAACTTGTTTTTGCAAATTTAACAGTTTTTACAATGAACTAGATTTGGTGGGTTTTTTTCTGTGTGTTTCTGTTTTTTTGAGGCGGACTCTCACTCTTGTCACCCAGGCTGGAGTGCAGTGGTGCTATCTTGGCTCACTGCAACCTCTGCCTCAGAGGTTCAAGTGATTCTGCCTCAGCCTCCCGAGTAGCTGGGAATACAGGCACCCGCCACCACACCTGGCTTTTTTTTTTTTTTTTTTTCCCTGAGACCGAGTTTTGCTCTTGTTACCCAGGCTGGAGTGCAATGGCGGGATCTCGGCTCACGGCAACCTCCGCCTCCTGGGTTCAGCCAATTCTCCTGCCTCAGCCTCCTGAGTAGCTGGGATTACAGGCATGCGCCACCATGCTCAGCTAATTTTTTGTATTTTTTTTTTAGTAGAGACGGGGTTTCACCATGTTGACCGGGATGGTCTCAATCTCTTGACTTCGTGATCCACCCGCCTCGGCCTCCCAAAGTGCTGGGATTGCAGGCTTGAGCCACCACGCCCGGCTTTTTTTTGCATTTTAAATAGAGACAGGATTTCACCGTATTGGCCAGGCTGGTCTCATACTCTGGAACTCAGGTGATCTGCCTGCCTCAGCCTTCGAAACTGCTAGAATTACAGGCATGAGCCACTGCACCTGGCTTAGTGCTACTTTTAAACACAAATGTGGCCAGACACAGTGGCTTATGCCTGTAATCCCAGTACTTGTGGGAGACTCAGGCGGGTGACTCACTTGAGCTCAGGAGTGTCAAAGCAGCCTGGCCAACATGGTGAAACCCTCTTTGTACTAGAAATACAAAAATTACTTGGGTGTGATGGTGCACGCCTGTAGTCTTAGCTACTCAGGAGGCTAAGGCAGGAGAATCACTTGTACCCAGGGGGCGGAGGTTGTAGTGAGTTGACATAACTCCACTGTACTCCATCCTGGGTGACACAGCAAAACTCTGTCTCAAAAAAAAAAAAAAAGTTTTATATGTAAATAAGCTTTTTTTCTATCATGCTTGTATAAATCCAGCTTTTTTTTTTTTTTTTGGTATCATACTTGTATTTTTTTTTCTGGCTGTTACTGCCTTTCTGATGACAGTACTGAATTTGGTGTTATGGTTGGTCACTTTCTTTTAGATAATATATAATCCAAAATATTCTTTTCTTTCTTTCTTTTTTTTTGAGCCGGATTCTTGCTCTGTTGCCCAGGCTGGAGTACAGTGATGGAATCTTGGCTAACTGCAACCTCCACCTCCTGGGTTCAGGCGATTTTCCTGCCTTGGCCTCCTGAGTAGCTGGAACCATAGGTGCCTGCCACATGCCTGGCTAATTTTTGTATTTTTAGTAGAGACGGGGTTTGACCATGTTGGCCACTTTTTCTTTTCTTTTTTTTGTACTGGAGTCCCTCTTTGTCCAGGCTGGAGTACAGTGGTGTCATCTTGGCTCACTGCATCCTCTGCCTACCAGGTTCAAGAAGTTCTCCTGCCTCAGCCTCCCGAGTAGCTGGGATTAGTCACACGCCAGCCCACCTGGCCAATTTTTAGGTTTTTGTTTTGTTTTTTGTTTTGTTTTGAGATGGAGCCCTTGCTCTGTAGCCCGGGCTGGAGTGCAGTGGCTCAATCTTAGCTCACTGCAGCCTCCGCCTCCCAAGTTAAAGTGATTCTTCTGCTTCAGTCTCCCGAGGAGCTGGGACTACAGGCGCGTACCACCACTCCCAGCTAATTTTTGTATTTTTAGTAGTGACAGGGTTTTACCATGTTGGCCAGGCTGGTCTCGAGCTCCTGACCTTGTAATCCGTCCACCTTGGCCTTCCAAGGTGCTGGGATTACAGGCCTGAGCCACCGTGCCAGCCTACTCTTTTATGTTTTAGATACTGTTTTTGAATCAGCTCATACAGAAGTACCTGTACTAATATTCCTGTTTTTATTTTGTATTTCTAGGTGTCTCCACGTTGTCTCCTGTGTAATTCTTCTTTTACCCAGTTACTTTCCCTACTTTTTTTTTTTTGATGCACAATAACAGAAGTCAGCTTTATTTCATATTTTAAAATATGACAAAAAGAAGAAGCGATTATTAACTTTCCAAAATGCTCCATCAGGTTTGGATGGCTGAGACAGTCCCCTCTGCTCTGGGTAGCTGATGTTGTCTCGAGGGAAAAATAATACTCTTTGGTTTCACCTTTCTAATCTCCTCCTGCCTCGCCCCTTCTTTGTTGCTGCAGACTCATTTCAGTTCTTCTGATGTCCCTTTCTAAAAAACTGACCAATGACCTCCTCAAGAAAACGTAGCAGCAACATAACGGGAGAAGTCCCACGATCATGAAGGCGACTGCATCAGCCACAAACATTCGCATCATCTGTTTAGGCTCATCTCTTAATGGAGCATAACATTTGAAGCCAGGAGTCCCAGATGATGAAAAACAGCATTTCGCTCTCAAACATTCACACTGACGAAGGTCTTGCAGCTGACTCCAAGGATTTACCACCTGATTTTCCCCCAGAATGCAAGTCGTCGGAAATAAGAAATCCAGCAGCACTTCCAGTACGAAATTATTTTCCAGACATTGGCCGCGATCAGGTTCACGGATTGCCAGGCTATGTCCAATTTCAGCCTCCTTTGAAAATTGAGAATAAAGATAGTTTCCCATCAACAGCGGGATCCCGATGGATATCGCCGTGCACAGCACGATCAGCCATAAGCGTCTGTCAAACAAGAAGTTTGTCAGACTTCTCCTAGTCTCGGCCAGGAAGGCTTCCCTAGCTGGAGGCATGGTCCGCGTTGCCGAGAAAATGGCTGACGGGGTAACTTTCTGTTACTCATCTACTTTCCCTATTTTTAAAATGTGGATATCACTTCTTTATACATTACCTCCATGATTTGGAATGAAAAAGTCCACTTTTTTTTTGTTCTGCCTCTCAGACTGAACACAGAGGAGCTCCTAGGATTCCAGTTATCCTGCCAACTTCTCCACGAAGAAAGAAGAAACTCACATAGGTATTCTGCTGTTTGCTTAATTATAAAGACACCATTTTGCAAGCTGAAGGCTGAGTTTCATTTGAAACAGGTCCTTAGGTGGTGGTATTTGTGAATACTTTTCGTTAGGAACAAGGAGACTAAATAAATAGCAAGTATGGATGACTTCAGGGTTTAATAACAAAAATGTCTTCCAGTTTCAGCCACTATCCTGATAAGCACAGTTGAGACTGCAGCAGTAAATTCCAAATATGCATTTCTAATTTGACGAAAGATAGTAAAAAATTACATATATTTATGTATTTAAATCCTGGCTCATCCTGTGACATAGATTTACTAAATAAGAACAAAGGCGAAATTTTAAACAAAAACCTGGGCCCAGCATGGTGGCTCATGCCGTAATCCCAGTGCTTTAGGAGGCCCAGGTGGGCAGATCACCTGAGGTTGGGAGTTTGAGACCAGCCTGACCAACATGGAGAAACCTCATCTTTACTAAAAATACAAAATTAGCCAGGCATGGTGGCACATGCCTGTAATCCCAGCTACTCTGGAGGTCGAGGCAGGAGAATTGCTTGAACCTGGGAGGTGGAGGTTGCAGTGAGCCGAGATTGTGCCACTGCATTCCAGCCTGGGCAACAGAGTGAGACTATCCAAAAAATGAAGAAAAAGAAAAAAAGAACTTTGGACATAGAGGAGTCGGGGGTGGGATGGGAGGATGAGAGAATTTTTCCATATAACTCCTTTTCCCTAAGAAAAGCAAAAATGCCTCATGCGGTGCCATCCGACTTTATGGTGTTTTGTATAATATATTCACTGTTTTTCTTCAACCCAGGGTGGCTATTTGGATGTTTGATTGCCTTTTTTTGTTTTTTGTTTTTTTATTTTAGGCAGAGTCTCACTCTTTTGCCCAGCCTGGAGTCAGTCTCCACCACCCAGGTTGAAGCGGTTCTCCTGCCTCAGCCTCCCAAGTAGCTGAGATTACAGGCGCCCACCACCGCATCCGGCCTGATTTCTTACTCAAGATGTTAGGTGCAGCATTAGTCTCAAAAGGCTGGGACTCAGGTACTTTTGCTGGTTGGGACTGAACTTTCTCATCAGAGAATGAATGGGCCTCAAGCAATGTTCCCAAACTTGTAATTGGATCATTGTACATTCAGGATGTGGTAAAGAAACTTTGAACAAGAAAAATGGTTATAATAATAAATGGATTTTTTTTTTTTTTTTTACCATGGTAGTTATGCATTATAGATAACAGACTCTCATAGAAAACTGTCCTTGCTTCCAAATCAGCTGAGGACCATTGTGTGTAGTGTCATGTCTTTACATAAGAGTGAAACCTTTATGCTTCTTTGTGAGAATAAATTTTAAAACTAATTAGTTGAAATTAAGGACAGATAGTATTGGAGCATCTGTGTGTTTTCCAGAATGTTTACTCAGGGCCATCAATGCTGGGACCTAGGGCAGAGTCACCAAAATTTGAGAGTGATAGAAATGGCCCAAAATGGGAAATTACTGAGATTGGTCAATCAACCCATTTGAAATGGGTAAAAAATACTTTTAGTGAAATAATTACATATTATATGTAAAATATAATTTCTGAGGGCAGCTACAAGTAATAAAGCTTAGTAGAAATAACTTTAGTTAAAAGTAACCCAAATTTTTCTCTAAGTAATCCACCTACTTCCTGATGTTCTTAATATTTTGGAATTGTTCAAGACAGTGGAGCCTACATGTTTGGGTTCTACTGATACGTTTAAAATGTCATATCATAGAGAATTTGTACCTTCCAGTTGTCTGTTACTTGTCTTCTCTGTGTACTGTGGCATCTTTTTGGGTAGGATCACTTGGCAGGGTGTAGAGTACTTGTCCTTTTGGCACCTGTACTCTGGACCACTTGTTTGAATAGAATCAGACTCGGCGTCTCCATATGCTTTATATTTTTTCATTTCACAGTTGAGAGAGCCACCGTTTAATGCTTTTTGAAATTGTTTCTGTATCTACCATGGTTGAGACCAGGTGCATTTAAGAAAATGCATATATTCCAGCTGTAGTTGCCCAGTGTTTACCAAATATATCTACATTTTTTCTTGTCTATTTTTGTCCCCTTGATAGGAAAAGCTATAATTTAGGCAGGACTATGCGTTGTTTTGTAGCCATGCTTCCTTCCTTTCCCTTGCCTATCCATGTTAGCTGGCAGTTTTTCTTTTGAAAAACGGGACATGTGCAATAGAAATATATATATATATATATGTATATTTTAATACTTGTGGACAAATGTTACAAGTTGTTTAAGAACAACAAAATCACCAATGTCTTCCATTTTGAGACGTGTATAGTTTTGTAAGCATTAGTGCTTGGTAGCATATTGTAGTGCCATGTTAGGGGTTAGTGCATGAGCCTAGTAATTTTAAATTTCAGGGTGAATTATTGTTAACAAATAATGTAAAAGGAGTGGAAAATCTAAACCTTTTCTTTTTTCATAATGTCTAAATCTGTTTTATTTTCCCTGGGGAAAAGAGATTAAGGCCCAAAAGATTCATTTATGAACAGAAATGTGGGATCAAAATCTGAGATACTATGTTTGAGGACATTTCAGCTTTCCATAAGGAATCTGGAAACCAGCTGCCTTTGTGTCTTATGAAACCTCAAGTTAAAATTAGACCCCATTTCATTATTCTGCTTTGATCTTTTTTTGCTTTTTTTCTTTGAGACATAATCTCACTCTGGCCCAGGCTGGAGTACAGTGGTACAATCTTGGCTCACTGCAACCTCCACCTCTTGAGTGGCTGGAAGTACAGGCACGCACCACCATACCCGGCTAATTATTGTATTTTTAGTAGAGACGGAGTTTTGTCATGTTGGCCAGGCCCATCTCAAACTCCTGACCTCAAGTGATTTGGCCTGCCTTATCCTCCCAAAGTGCTGGGATTACAGGCGTAAGCCACCACACCTGGGCTGCTCTTAAACCGTCTTCACATGGCATATCTTTTAGGTTTATTATTTTCCCACTCCTTGTATGTCAAGAAATTATATTTTACATGTCTTATGAAGATGCTATGTTAATTGCTTTAGTGAGTGCTTTTCTAATCTGCAGACCATTTACATTTCTTATTTGTAGCATGCTGTGTGTAAACACTCAGTAATTTGGAGTATTCAGTTATTTGTTATGGGTTCTTTCTATTTCCAAATCTGCTGAATTGTCTATTGACGGGATTTCAGACTTTTTCCTGAGAACTGGAAATGTAGCTGGGTGATGCTTACCTAGGTTGCTATGTAACAGGTAGACTCTTTTCCTGGGTTATAGTAAGCCTCAGACGTCTTTCACTTTTATCTACTTTACTTGTGGAAATAAAACTGTTGGTTTATTCTGAAAGCTATTAGCTTTCTGAAAGAATAAGATAGCTTTCTGTAGGGAAGTAATTCCTACCTGTAAAAACTGCCTTGAGAACTCAGAAGTGGCAGTTTTCTGAGGTGATTTTTAAATTTCAGTATTAGGGAGTGTCCATCATTTGTTGACAGATTCTACGTAACTATTGTATGATAACAAATGCAAAACTATTATAATGTGGTATATCTTGTGCATACAAAGGTTAGAACAAGTAGATTCTGGCAGCAGATCTCCAGAGACCCAAGTTTAGAGTCTCATAGTGTATGCAAAGTAGTTATATTCTTGGCTTAAATAGTTTACTGCCTGGGACAATCTATTACTGAAAAGCAATTATTAAAAAAAACAAAAACAAAAACTGAAAAGGTAATGAATGCAGAATAGCACAGTATTTAGGAAAGGATATTTCCTGTTGCAAAAAGAAAAAAAAAAAAAAAAGCCATAAGATGAATAGTGATTTTTAAGAGATAGAATTGTAGTAGCAATAAGTTTTTGCATGTATAGTAATTTGCATTAGCAAGGTTGTACAATAGAATATATGATACTACTTGGGTTTGTCGGGCTCTGCAATCAAGTTGCACAAAAGGAAAAAATGTTCTGGATAAAGAGCATATAAAAGGTACTTTTAGAACAGTATGAATGTATATGAATTTATCTTTGTGTGAGAAATGTCAGCTTTTGTGTAAGTTAAAAGTTAAAGACCCTATTTGTTTCCTAATTCAGAGGGTTAGAGCCATTAAAATTAAACCTTTATAGTGCTTAACCTGAAAACAAATGTACTACAGCCCCACTGAAGCCGCTGTGTGAGTTTTTTGCTTAAGATGTTTTAGCAACAGGCATTTATTCTGTAGAGTGGTATAGTTTCTGCTTTGTCTCACCTTTCTCCATTGGTTTCCTGGGTTCATTATTTAAAGGGAGAGAAGTTTGTGAGTTTAATGTTTAAAATAAAACTCCTATGAACATGGATAAGCTGGATTTCTCATGATTAGGGAATAAGGATTTTAAGATGAAAGGCAGAAGGATTGAAGGGAATAGCCATTGAATACGCTTGGGTGGGTGGGGTATAAAACCTTGTCTAATGTAGATATGGCCTATGGCCTGTGACTGCTTATTTATCAAGGAGAACCCAGTAAACTAGTTTCTTGCTTGATCTGAGGAACCACACAGCTTGCATCAGGATATAATAGTTGAACTAGGGTGACTTCACTCCCTTTCACCTGATGTCTAATCCTGGCCTTTTAGCACTTTGACTATCCCTGAAAAGACTGGGTCTATATTTCCTTGTTTTCCCAGGGAAAAAACTGAAAGATAAGTGATGTAGATCTAGGAATAGTGCCTCTTTTTAATTCTTACATGACAACTAACACATAGGGAAAAGGCTATGTTAAGTTGATTGTAGATCCACTTTAAATGTCCTATGCTGTCAGTTGGTCTTAGAGACATTGGAATAACCAAGCAATATTCAGATGTCTGCATATCTGGGGACAGTGTTACCTGTTACAATGATGTCAACAGTTCAGTTACTTGGAACAATTAACGATTACCCTTAACAGCCGTGATAGTAATTCTAAATGCTAAAATATACTACAAGCTTTCAGTCTTGAAAGTTTGCTGTTATTTAAAAAAGTTGTTGTGGTCTCATGTTTACTCTTCCTATATCTGTGATATGCAAAAATAAGAAGAGACCCTTGGCCTCCAGGAGTTTACATTCTCATGGTGCTGTTGGTGCAAGCAAATTGCTTCTAGTTTATTAATGAACATTAACTGGCTATTAATTATATCCTATTTGGAAGAATCCCTTGGTGAACAGTTCTAAAAAGCAGAGAGCTGTGTTAAATTTCAGGGCATTGATGCTTGAGTTTACATTGTATTAGCCTT